TATTTCCTTGATTTTCACATCTATTATTTATTGTTTCGGTCTTTTAATGACTGACAGTTGCTTGCTCTTTTATCATTTTTATATTGACTGTGTGACTAACAAAGTATACATTTCATATTTGGGACTAATTTTACATTTACATAGTTTTTAATATTCTTAATCTCTAATTGTCTTTTGACTTAAAAATTTTTTATTTATATTTATTAACATATTGCGTTCCATGATGCGTTTTATCGACTCCGTTCTCTTCACACTTGGTGAGTGTCTTATAGATATTACTATGCATCAAATTATATATAGTTATTATAAAATTGAAAGTGTCATTATTTTTAGACCTTAACTCTAATTGTAAGATCATTCGGCCTACTAACCGAACATGATAGACATACATTGGATAATCCATTAATCTTGTCATGCGGAGAATGAAGACATTATTTAAGATTCTGTATCGCTGAAGATGGCTCGAACCTGAGCCGAAACGTCCTTTGTATCTAAGTATTATTAAAAATTGAATTTTCTGCGCACCAAGTACCCTGCTTGACTGTCATCTTTTGTCCTTAATTGTTACTTTTTAAATTATCTAATATTTACATAATTATATATTATGTTACTTCATATATTTCAACCAGCTTTAAATTAGTTGTTTATTTAATTTTGAAAAATTTTGATAATGTCACTACTTACTTGTCTATGTTTAGAGAGTTTAAAAACAATTTTAGCCACCATGGCCAAACATAGGAACAAAAAAATGTTTTTTAATTAGTTCATAATTTTCAAAATATAAATAAAAGATAACAAAACATTTTTTAAATTATAAAGTAATCAGCTCTGATTAAAATGGTATAAGATGATTCTATTAAAAACTATCCTATTAAAATAATGTTACTGCCAATAAATCTTCATTTTGTAACATATATATTACAATTAATATACAGTTTACAATATAAAAGTGTTTTCTAATTGAATAATTACAGTAAAGTTCAAAGAAATATATTATAATAGGTAAAACTGACAATTAATATAGTTTAAATTACAAATTTCTTAAAAATCTCTGTCTAAAATACAATTCAATATCAAAATCAATGAGATATATAGATTTTTATAAATATACTTTTTAAATAAAATATAGAAAATAAAAATTTTGTATAACTTCAACAGTATACTTCTTGGTTACGCACTGTGCAAAAAATGTATGTAAAAACAAAGATGAACAGTTAAATATCTGTTTTTTTTTAAATAATATAATTACCTTTTCTAATTGATGTGCACCATCTGGCAAATAATCACCTGGTATATTTTGGATACTGGGTAAATTAGGCATTGTTGGTTCTAACCGGTCAACAAGTAAATTGTATATAGCTGATACATGATCAAAGGTATTTCCTTTAACAGCTTGTAATAATGTATCTGCACTGAGTCCAGGTAATCTTAACATATTTTCTATTACTAATTGATTTAATGGTGGTGGTATGCTCACATCAGGATTACATCTGAGAATATAAAAAGATTAAAAAATTAATAAAGAATAAAGTATAATAAGAAGAAAATAGATTTAAATTCTTAAAGTAAATATTCTTTTTTTTTTTAATGCAATTAGCAAATAATTATTACAGTAAAAAATGTATGGTAAATATGTATATATGGCCAATATATACAAATTTATTTAAAATATCAATAAATCATTCTAAATCTTAATGTTTAGAAAATTATGCAAGTTTATTAGTATACATGTCTCCTGCTGAAGAAATAGATACAAATAATTTAATAAACTCAGATATCAGATCTATTTAGAAAATTCAACTGGAGATTATTATCAATTTTGATTTCAAAATAGCATCTATTTAAATCTTTCAAAAACTCATAAAATCTGAAGGAAAAATATAGAGAAAATTTACATATTTAAAATAACATAAAAAACAAAATTAAAATTTTTTAATTCTTTATTTTCACTTGCTTGTTAGTATTTGAATATTTTATAAAATAAAATATATATTATATAGAAATATATATAAAAACAAATATAGAAATGTTTTTTTTAGATTATATGTTTTTAATCTTATTATCTGATTTCAAAGAGAATTCGAAGATTTATATTATACTTATTACATTTTTTGTTTATAACAAATTCTCTAGTTATAAAAGCAAAGCATATAAAATATGCACATATGTATAAGATATTTCTTAAGATACTTCAATATTATCGGAGTTTAAAGATTATTTTATAAATAAAAGTTTATATATAGAATAAAAAGATCGAGACACTGGATTATCTCTAAAAGATAACACTTACAGAAAAAATGTTTTATATAAAAGTTGTAAGGCGCCAAGTTATTCATCATGATGACATTGGTTTGACTTTGAATAATCTTGAGAATGTCTTATCAAAGTTATCTTGAGCTCTTTTTAATAGGACCTTTTTTTATTATAACTTCTTGTAGCCGATATCAAGATCTTTTCAAAATAGTATAATTAATAAAAAGTGGTAACTACGACCAAGGAACGAGCAAGGTAATATGTAACATGAAATTAACAAAAGAATTAATATTAATAAATAATAATTTTTAATGTCAAATAAAACCCAAAATTAAGATGTTTCGGACTGCACAGTCATCTTCAGTTAAAAAGTTAAATTAATAAGAATCATATATAAAAAAAACTAAAATCTGTCAAATACTAATTAAAACATAATAAAAGCTAAGAGGCTCAAAACAATAAACGTTATATAAAATATGTCGCATATAATATCGCTGTAGTCAATACATCGCCTATAAAATATCGGCACATATTGTACTTTCACTGTGTAAACCATTTTTAATCTAATAGATTGACAAGCAAGATCGTTGTTGATGATCCGAAATTATAATTTCTCCGTTGAGCAATCTTATTCTTGTAACTTTGTGTATCATTCTGAGGTATTAGTGACTAAAATATCAATATGCAGTTAATAACCAAGAGCAATTTCGTGGCTGTATTCGTTCAAAGTTTAAACTACATCGGCGATTATTTGATACGCTAGATTACTGACGGAACTTTTACACAATGATAGGTATAACTTGTCTACTCATCGGGATATTCATGACAACTATTATTTATTATATTTATTATTATATTTATTTGACATTAAATTATTATTTATTAATATTAATTCTTTTGTTGATTTCATGTCACATATTACCTTGCTCGTTCCTTGGCCGTAGTTATGACTTTTTATTTGTTTTTTCAAACACGAGCTTATTATAAACTTAATTTCAGTATAATTAAATATTATTTGGTCAAAAACTATTTGAGATATGAGCCATCCAATATCCCGATCTTTTTATTACTGCACCTTGAATATATATACACGTGTGTGTGTGTGTGTGTATGTGTGAGTGTGCGTGAGTGTGTGTGTGTGAGTGTGTGTGTGTGTGTGTGTGTGCGCGTGCGTGTGTGTGTGTGTGTGTGCGCGCGCGCGCGCGCGTGTGCGTGGTGTGTGTGTGCGCGCGTGTGCGTGTGTGCGTGATGTGTGTTGTGTGTGTGCGTGCATACGTGTGTGTGTCTTCTCATCCTTTGGCTTTCTTCGTACACATACACACACACACACGTGCGCGCACGATGTAAAAGACTTTGTTTCAAAGATATAGAGTGTTAAAAGTTCTATAAAATTATCATTTTTCTTTACTGATAATTCAAAAAACTTTATTGATACTTATAAAAACAACAATTTTATAGAAATCTTAATACCTCATATCTTGGAAAGATTTTTGAGAGGAAAGAGTGTGACCCTAAAAACAGGCCAAAAATGCCCTGTATTCTCGCCCTCGATTCCGGATTTTATTTTGGTGATAAATGATAGTAAACCATGAGACACTAATTTTCTGAAACTTTTAAATGAAGCATACTCTTCGTTGGCAAGTTATAAAGCCTCAAAGTTATCATTTTATACCGTGTTCCTCAAAACGGATCTTTGCATGCGAATAGCTTTTAGGCAAAGCAATTTTGAAAAAAATGTTTCAGACAAAAGTTGTAAAATGTGAAATTGTACACAAAATAATGACCTTTACTGTGACCTTGAAGACACTCCTGAAGGTCATTTGGAGGTCAACTTTTGATTTTTAAATGAAAACTTTTATTTAAAGTAACGCTTGGGAGTGAAATAATTATTAATATTTTTTTGGACTGGGGGTTGAATAATAGAGGTGAGTTTGGAGTCAAAGTTGATTTCATTACGTTGCCAACAAAGAGTATGCTCCATTTGAAAGTTTCAGAGAATTAGTGTCTTATGGTTTACTATCATTTTTCACCAAAATAAAGTCCAGAATCGAGAGTGAGAATACAGGGCATTTTTGGGGTCACTCTTTCATGCTTAAGGGCCCTTCCTAGTCAGCCGCAAACTCCGCGTTGACGGTGGCGACGTTATATCGCGGTAGAAATTAGAAGCTTCTTGTCGTATATTAGGCCCGTCCTATAATACGTCATATATCGGTGTTTTAAGTCATAAACCGTGATAATTATACAGAATAATTGTATGCCGATATCGTAAGCAGTGTAAAATTTATCAGTCAAATATGAAGAGAATATTCGACAATTGAAGAAAATAACGGATCTACTCTGAAAAGTGTTGACAACGAATTTTGTGTTGCGTGCCATTTCGTTATTATGTGCTTAATTGTGAAAATGCTGTCTCTTATACACATCTCTGAGCGGGCTGGCAAG